CTGAATCAGCTTGAGATAATTCAAATATCACTGCTGCTCTTATCACAGCTTTAATAAGAAATTATAGCTGTTAATGAGCTGTAAGTATGATTTGATAAGCCACTTCAGAATCATTTTCTCTCAGAGATTGAGATATTAATAGGCTATTATTTCTTACAATGACTATATATATCTGAATAATAAGATCAATAGATGATTGATTTGATGCTGAAAATGCTGCAGAAATAATCTACTTAATTACTGAACTGAGTCATTTCTTCTTAAGCTCACACTGCAAGATAAGAGATATAATAATTGAAGGTCAAGCATATTCTTGAAGCTGATACTTCTTGAGATGAATAATTGATAACTGTAGATGATTTCAACTGTGAGAAAAAGAGAATATCTATAATATTCAGAAGTATTCTAGCTAATTATACAGTGATAAGACAGTACTGATCAGTAATAAGTGTAAAATCTCTGATATATCAGCAAACTCACTAGAATATGAATCAGATGAGAAAAAAGAGATCAAATTCAAACTTAAATATATCTGAAAAAGAGATACAGTCTGTGATATCATTTCTTGCTCTTGATACATTTAATCTCTGTATGTAAGATTCAGTAGATCATTCAGTTTAGCCTGAAGATGTTATATATAATAGTGAAATTAGCTATTATTGTGTAGATCATAGTTCAGGTTTAATTAATTCTTATTATTAATAAAGCAGCTTCAGCATGATCTTCTTACTGTTAATTCTTTGATTTCTGTATTACTATTTTACTGCAGCATATCTTCAAGAAATACAATACAAGATATAATCACTCTCATCTTTTTTTCATCAATATTCATCATAATTCTCTCATAATTTAATATAGATAAGTCATGTGACAATGCAGTAACTATATCAGAAAAATTGATATTATAAGAATCAAAGATTAGAATAAAAATATTGTTTCACTTTAAGTGTTTAACAGCACTCAGTGCAGAAATTAAATAAAAACTCATCAAGCTTCAGTACATGTTTCAATATAAGTTAAATTCATTAATAAATAATTGATATAACAGGGAAATAACTTATATATCAGAGTAAAATATACTTTTTAAAAGATCTTATTCATATACTGCAATTTTCAACTCAGTCTGAATTAGTGAAGATTTGCAATATGATTATATCTCAATCATCTCAGTTTTAGTTCTCATGACTCAGTGAAGAAAATACTGATCTTAACTCTTATATACTGGCAGATCAGAACCTGATTCAAATGTTATATTCATATGAATATCAAGTTAATTGAGAACTTGAGTAATTGAGATATATTTCATCTCATTCTTCATTATAATTATTTCAAAGAGACTAAATAATGAATTCAAGAACAGTAATCTTTATATAGTCTGTGAAGTATAGTAAATAGCTTCTTGAACTTTCAGAACTATCATATAAAACCTTATATCTGAATATCAGTGATCATATTTGATAAAATGCACTCTTTCAATATAAGATATATCATTCAATTCTGATTTACAGTAGTATTCAAGATTCTCACACTGATACTGAATAAAATCAGAAGAAAAAATAGGTTTATTTATTAATAAATATCAGATGAATTTGCTGAAACAATATTTAACAGAGCTCTCTCAACTGTGAGATTATCATAACTCTGTAAGATTGTTGACAATTTCTGCTATTTCTATATACATTTATCACTGAAAAGTTGAGGATTTGAGAAGAGCAGATATCAAGAGAATCAGATTTTGAAAGTATAGTAATCTTATGAAGAATTTGACAAGATTTTTCTGAGCAGAACTCAGAGTTAATATTTATATTAATGACACTATTGAAATTGAGGTTTTCTTGACTGATAAAATCAGAAATTGTGCTCTGTATTGCTTTTTCAGAGTTGATAGATCTTTAAGAAGCAGACTTATCAGCAATGTATTCTTCAATAAACACAGAATTTACAGTAGTGATTTGTAGTTTTTTCAGAAAATATCTGACTCTTTGACTTAGAGTTTCATTGTCAGAACAAATGAATTCATTTCAAAGTTACTGCATTTGTGAGATATATCAATTACTGAATCAGAATCAACAAATTAATCAGTAATAGTAACAGTAATTGTATCAGTAGCTGGCATTTCAATATCATCAGTAACTGACTCATCAGAATTCTCTTAATCATCATTTTCAGAAATATTCTTCTCAGCAGCTGCTTTTAAAAGTCACTTAATATGCTTAACATTATCAGCAGTATTCTCATTATATGACTCTGTCTTTAGAGAATGTTAGTTTTTATAATGATAGAGACATCAAAAGTGATAAACTTACTGAGAATAGTAATACTTCTTCACTGAGAGCATCAATATCTGAATCACTGTCAGTGAAATCTTCATTTATAGTTTTTAGAAAAGAGAGATATTGATTATCTCTGAATTCTTATCTAGAGACAGATAGCAGGTAGTGTTTTAAATTTTAATTAAACAGACATGATATTTTACTTTCTGATATAATTTGTAGAAAAAAGTTGCATAGTTGAAAAGATATAAATGAAGTGAATGAGTAATCTTGATAAAATAAAGAGATGAGGTTGAATTACTGAAAAGAGATATATTAATAAGAGCTGTAATCAGTGACAATCTACATTAATTTAATATTAAGAATCAAATCACTATATTTCTATTCATATCATAAATTTATCAGAGTTCTATCAAGATTCTGAAAATGAATATTGTCATGAATTCTGCTCTACTAGATCTCTTCAAACTCTCTCATCTGATAGATTTAATGAGACAAATTACTGATTTCAAAAGAAATCTGATATTGATATATCTGAACATAGAATGAACATAATGACAGCAATGATAAATACTAGTCAGACAAGAAGAAGTCAAACTCATCACTGATATCAAGTAGTCTGTCAAAAAGATGTCACTGAACCTGGCATTCAGATGCAGAAATGTATAAGAAGGAAATTCAGCTGATAGAGCAGTATCTGTATCTGAAGATAAAATGAATGTATTTTCTTTCTTTCAATAAAGATAATTTGAATTGAACAGTTACAAGTGTGATAAAAATAAAGAATAAAACATTATACATCTTTTCATTCAGCGGAATGATGATACTGAATGTGATTAAAACATGAAAGTCTCAAACTCTCAAAGAAATGAAGACAAGTAGTATTAGATTTTAGCAAATATATCAACTTTTCAGTGAGATATCTTAGAAGAATTTGAAACTTTTCAGTGAGATATTAAAATTTTTTTGATCAACTTAGCTAATCATTTATTAATATAGAATCATATTCAATGAAAGAAGACAAAGAGCAGAGAAAGTTTAGCAGTAATTGAATTACATAACTGCTATGAAGAATTAATCATCTTTGAATACTTCTGTGATTCATTTATCACTGAAAAGTTCTTTCTGATTTTTTACTGAGTGTGAAGAATCATTGACTTTGATCAATTCTCTGAGCAAGAACAATGATATATGAAATGTAAGTTGAATATTCATTAGTTAAAGATATTGAATTGAAAACTTCAGATTGAAAAACTAGAAACTGATTCTGAATAATAGAGATATATATCAATCTTACAACTCAGATCAAAATATTTGATAATACTGACACAAATGAAAATTCTGCTGCAGCTATACTATAATAGCAAAATATTCTGACATTCTGAGATCTGATAAGTGATATTTCTGAATATCAGTAAATTGTCAGAGATGACTTTGCTGAGATGATTCAGAATATCTCAACAGCAAAAAAGAGACATCTGATAAAAGATATGTGAAAGAAGATATGAAAAAAGATTAAATTTTCAGAGACACTTTCAGCAAAAGACAGATCAGTGATGTAGAGATTTTCAATACAATCTATTTATATTTCAATATATTTAGTTTTCTATGAGTTTTATATATAAATTAGTTAATATATACTTTAATATACATAATTAAAATATACCTGTCTTGATATTTGCTGAAGAAAGTTGTCATATTCTCTATCTTGTAATTTGTATAGTTATGACTGTGAAGAATTCACTGATTTCACTGCATCAGAAAATCTTGAATTCTGTAGATATATTTCTAACAGTGTATTGAACACTTGTTCCTAGTTAATAGAAATGATTTTGTATTCAAAATAGCTGTAATTCAATCAGTGATAGTCTGTGCAAAAAGTATTAAGATATGAATGAAATTTATCAGATATGCTGATTACACTCAGAGATGAAATATGAAAGTATTTGCATTCATTGCATGATAATCTGCAAAGATGAATCAATAACATATATAAAGACTCACATTTTTCTTTTCCTTCTTTTCTTCTTTCTTTTTCTTACAACAATAATACATTGTAAAAATCATTTTCAACTCACTCTACTCACTCTGTCCTTCTTTATTCCTTAGTCTGATTAGTATTCTGTCAGTTGCAATAGAAAGCTTTTAATCAGAAAAGTTCTAATCAAGATATCTTATCTGTATAGTATATCAAGAATATCAGTAATTCATCATATCAGTATCAATCACAGTAATAACAATAACAGTAGTAGTATTAATTACAGTAATAATAACAGCAGCAGTATCAATCACAGTAACAACAATAACAGCAGCAGTATTAAAATAATAAGTAACATTCTCAAGTGTATCTGTGCTGCTGCTGCAAAGGCTTAAGAGAAGAAAGCAAGCAGCTGTCTGAATATCTTGACAAAGCAGCTTAATAAATAAACAATGTGTAAGTACTGCATTGAGTATATTTTTCTCTGTCATTTGAATACTGCTTGTGATAAGGTGAAGAGAAGCTCAAAGCCTTGTATAAATTACAATCATGAGAAAAAGAGATGTGTGATTGTCTCTGAAGAATTAAAAGAATAAGTTAACAATCTGATCTGAATTCATAACTTTTATCTTTCTATGTCAGATGATTTCAAGAAAATAATAAAGAGAGCTATATTGAAATTGATGAAGAATCTTTTAAAATAGATCAAGAAAGTTAAAACTCACTAATAAAAAGTGAAAGCTTAATGTATGAAGAGTATCACTATTGCTCTGAAAGTTCTGAATGTTATCATCAGTGTTACTGAAAAAGCTAAAATTAAGATTGAGAAGACTAAGTTGAATATTGAAAGAGTGAAATTAGAAATTGAAAAGAAAAAAGTTGCTGCAGAAAAGAAGAAAATCATGATTAAAAAGACAAAACTTGACATTGAAACTATCAAGCTTGAAGTACATCACAAGCTTTTGAGAATGATAGTCAGTTATATTGAAGAATAAAAATCAGTGATAAAGAATCTTATAAATTTAATAAACAATGTTAATACTGAAGCTAGCTGTATTATCATTGAGATGTATGAAATAATGAAGCATGTTCAGAGACTTACAGATTATCTTGATAAGAATTCAGTTACAGTCAGTGACAGTAGCAGCAGTGATAAGAAATTTAATAACAGTAATAATTCTCTTCTCATTTCTCTCACTGATATCTCTGCTACTGCTGTTAATTCTCTTCTCTCTTTCTTCTTCAATCTTTCAACTTCAGTTGATTCTCTGACTATGAGCAGCACTGAAACTCTCAACATTCTTGATAAAAAAGTAAGTTAGAATCAGTGAAATGATTCTCAGATTTATACAGAAGTTAATAATAATATAGATGAGTAAATACACAGCTTCTGATCTCTCTGAAACTCTCTCTCTCAAATGATGAATGATCATTGACACTGATTCTTCACAAACTTCAATATTAATTCACAAGTTCTCTGAAATAAATGTTGATGTGAATATGACAGGAAATGATGACAATGATATAGAGATGATTCAGAGAATCTGAGAGGAATTACAGAGAGATATGACAGATTTCTAATAGAGAATGATTTCAGTGAATGAGACATTTTTTAGAATTAGTGATTATGTAGATAGGAATTGATGACATTGCTAATATAATGATGATTTTATTCTGTTTATAACTCATTTACAGTGATTTCACGGCTAATTCACCATTATATTATATTTTACAGTTCGGCGACGGTGTCGGCGACTGGCACGGCGGAACAACCATAACCCGGTCGTATAATAAGCCTACGTTTTTCCGGTATGGAACGAACTACTAGCATACAAGTGTAAAGAGGGGGCCATAGTGGCCACTAATTAATTTAGCGTACAATATTACAATATATAAGAAGCCGGCGTACGCCTGTAATCGTACGCTAGCTTAAGCAACCTTTGAATCACAGAATTAAACAACTCATCTGAGAATTCATCAATGAACTCAACTTGAGATGAACTTACTTATAAGCAATTAGACTGGCCGCTGGGATCATGAATTTCATGTTTAGTCTCATTTGATCTGATCTCATACATTTCTTGACGTGAATCCCGCTGGGACTGACTATCAAAAAAACATGTAAAGTGACTATATATCAGATCTTAAAATGAAATCATGACTTGAAAAAAATGAGAAAGTGATCTCATTTAATTTCATTTAGTTTCATTCTTGATATAAAGTTACTATTTTTAGATATTTTAAGGTTTTTTTTAGACTATTTTTAATTTTTTAAAAAGTAACACTTTTTGATAACACTCAAATAAGATTTAAAGTCATTTAAAGCAATAAAAATAATTTAAATTGAGAAGTGAAAATCATGATCTCATTTGAAAAATGTGATAAGAGTAGACAGTAAGTCTCACTGAGACAGTATGAGATCACTATCTAATGTTAAAACTGTGTAATGAGATCAGTTGAATTGATAATGAAACTATCAAAAAATCTGATTCTGGTCTCAGACACGGTCACACGGTCAGTCTATAAGCAATGACTGAAAAGCATGCTATTATAATTGTGAAAGTCTGACAGAACACAGATGAACAGTATAAGAGTGTCAAAAGTCAAATGATACTGTATAATTGTATCAAAGTGAAAGACATTCTTATGAATGTATCAGTCAGATGTTATAATAATATAAAAACAGCTCTTAACTCTGCTCTGATAGCAGAATGAAAGAATGTCATTAGTCTCTGATTACAGGTCTTTCACACAGACATCACAAAGAATACTAAGAAGAGAGGTTCAATAGTCTCAAGCTTTTATAAATTCAATCATTAGAACTGCGCTTCTTCTGATGAAGCAGTAATACTAGATATAATTAAGAAGTTAGAACAGCTAGAAGCCTGACTGATCTGACAAGAGAGTGAGCTCAATGAATATGAATATCAGCTTGATCAGTGAAAGAAGCAGTTGAATAAGTGTACTGCTCTTGTTAATAAACATGTCAGCAAACTTCAAGAGAATCTCAAATAATTGACAGATAAAAGAAGCAAATTGATGAAAGTGTGAAATAGCTTCTGCACTGAGAAAGTCACACTCACTATTCAAAGACAGAAGCTGAATCATTGTCAGCAGATGAACTGTTCAACTCAGATTAACAGAACAGATATCAGAGCTGATGATTCTCTCAACAAGTCTGTGCAGCAATTAGATACCTTCTTTAAGAAAGACTTTGAATCATCTTCTAGAATCTGATAAATGTCAGCAATTTCATGAGAACTGCACATTGCTGAAGACAGAACACACTGTCATAATCTAATAAGAGACAGGATTAATTTTCTCAGAGAAGCTGACACTGCACATTTTACTTATAACTCAGAGAGAAATCAGATGTGCAGAAACCAGATACTTACTTATAACAATCTTGATCTTTCACTCAATAGTGAACTCTGTTCATCTGTATGAAGTGACTATAGATCAGCGAGATTACAGACTGATAATATCATGCTATTCAATTCAGTGAAAACAGATGTAATAATATTTATCAGTCACTTGAAATTCATTATTACATAGAAGAGAGATAACATGACTCTTCATGTATTCTCTCTATACCTGAAGAGTCAGGTGTTGAAATGACATAATAATCTGTCTATTAAAATGAGAAAGAATATGAATATCTCTCTCTCTATCACTGTTGATGAGTTAAAACGCGAGTTTCAGCTATCAGAAGAGAAAGCTTGAATGAAAGCTCAGACTCTGTGTTTTTTCTTTAAGAAGTTAGATAAACTGTCTCTGATGTTATATATCTCACAGAAGATTAACTTACTTCAAGCTGCTGTAATCTCTGACTCTGTTATAGTAAAGAGGCTCTTATAAGAGAATTTAGAGTTTAATCTTTTCTTAATCACACTGCTTATTCCTGCTGAATAATTGAATAACTTCTGATAATAAATTAGAGATAATAAGTCAGCTGCTTGATGTGTCTGAACTGATCTGAAGACTCAATTCACTGACTACATATGTAGTTTCAGATGTTTTGAACAGAATAATGATCATCACTCATATCATATCTCTCTGTTCAAGCAGATAGAAGCTACAAAGCTGTCTGTATCTATCACAGAGATAGCAGTGATTCTCACAAGTGCTCTCACAATAAGTAAGTTACTGATTCAGTGTACAATAGAAGAAGAAAGACTGCTGATACTCATAGCAGAGTGCTACATCTGTGAAGACTCTCATTATGTCAACTGCTGTCTTAAAAAAGAGAAGAACAACAATCATTCAGTGAATCAAGTCAAACTGAAGAGTATAGAAGATGATAATAAGCTGCTGAATCTAGATCTCAGTCTAGATTCTAACAGTGAGTTGAAAAAATAATCAGTGAGATAGATACTGAGAGACTTATTTTATATACAGATATTTTCTCAGATAATTATTGAAACATCTTTAATACTGACATATATGCAGTTGCAGCATGTGATATCTCTATAAGTAATTGAGAATATGTTAGTGAACTACAGTATTTATCTTACATCTTTCTTATCATTTCTGTTATTACATCACAAGACAATCTCTCTATTTGCATGAATACAGATGCAGATATATCACTTATCAATACAATAATAGCAAGTCTATTCTTCTCTCATTGTCAACTGATCTCTATGCTGCATGATCAATGCATGAGCATTCAAGAAGTTAACTCAGAAGCTGATAAATCAAATCTATTCATAATAACAGATCTTATCTTAAGAGTGAATGATAATTCTCTTTTCATTGTTGAAGATGAATTTCACTTAGTGTGATATCTCAGATGCAATATAATCATAGCTAATGATGTATTATCATCAGTGAAAGCAACTATCAATATTCACAGTGAGCTTGTTACATTTCATGAAAGATATTTCATAAATATCAAGATTATCAGAGATGCTATTCACACAGATAGATGTCTGTCAAACTCACAGCTGTCTCAGCAGTAGAAGAAGATTGTCATTTGTGCTACTAATGCTGACATTATTCATCATTCTAACTTAGAAGATTCCCTGTTTCCTATCTCATACATTGAATTACATTTGACAGATGTAGAAGATTAGAATAATTCACTTCAAATTCTCACAGCAGACACTCTCACTGAGCAGGTTTAAGTGAATATATCAGATCACTGAGCAGCAGAAGACTGAGCAGTCATTTAAGTGATCATCAACTGATATCACAAACTATTTAGCTTCAGTCTAGGCTTATTTTCAGATAATATTAAGATGTCACTGCAGTTCATTGATGAGAGCAACTTTTCCAGTCTGAAACAGAGACTCTATTCTCTGTCTTGAAGAGATTGTGAAGCTGCTGACCAGATTCTGAACCTGCTTCTGTAAGATAGAAGAATTGAACATGTTTCTCTCAGAGACAGAAACCTTATTACTTCATCTGCCTTTGTGATCTGACTTAGAGAGAAGTCAAGAATGATGATTGATTTGTAAAAAGTAAATGCATACTTACTTCTCAATGTATACTCTCTATTAACATAATAAGATATATTGCAATCACTCAGTAATTCTACAGTATTCTTATTCATGAATATCTGTCAAGACTTCTTTCAATAAGTGATTGAACAGAGTGATTATTTCAAAACTATGTTTATGACTCTGTACTGAGATCTTGAATGTTTTACAGTTACTACAATGAGATTGACAACCTCATCTGAGTTCTTTCAACAGTGTATGAAGAAGATTCTAGTAAAATTTCTATGATAATTCATGTTAGTCTATGTAGACAATATCATCATCTTCTTTTACTTACTGAATAAATATCTTTATTATATGCAGCAAGTCTTCACAGCTCTTGAGATGTCTGAGATAATAATGTCATTAACTAAATATCATTTCATATATCTCTCAGTGTGTTTGCTGAGTCATCATGTCAGCTGACTAGATATATCTACTCAAGAAGAGAAAGTAGCTGCTATTACTAATCTAGCCTTCTCTATAATACTCAGAGAACTAGAAGGAATTATCAGTCTCTTCAATTATTATTATAATTTTATCAGTTTTTATGCAGATCAGATGAAAGTATTAGAGACTCTCAAGATCAAGTTACTATGTAATGATTCAAAAATGAGTCAGAAAAGAGTATTATACACAGCTAAGATTAAGTTGATGAGATTTGAGAACTCACTGTAGTTTCACACTCTGCTCATGAAAGTCAGACATTTATTTAACATGATAAAGCAAGTCTTGATAAATGCTCTCACTCAGACATATCTCAACTTTAAATGTTCCTTCATATTGTACATGAATGTCAGTAAGTAAAGAGATATTAGAGTAGCTCTATATCAAGTTAAAATAAATAATATTGAAAGACCTGTTCTATTTCTCTCTCACTGATTGAGCACAGCTGAAAAGTGCTACTGAGTAACTGAATTAAAGTGTCTTGAACTCATATAAGCTCTGTGGAAATTACTGCAGTATTTAGACAGCAAGTTTACAGTTATCACAGATGTAAGAAATCCCGCTTCTCACGGATTCTTTACCCCTATTTCTATCTCTTGTGTAATCAATAGAGCTAGCAGCCCTTGACTACACACAACTATATAGACTGAAGTTCATGAATACTATTCATAACTCAGCTTGAATGCTATTATATATTTAATCTCTACATTTTATCTTTCTATCATGAATACTTCTAGTAGTTAACAGTATATATCATGTCAAGCTGCAAACACTCAAATAATCACCTGTAAGCACTTATTCTTACATTTCAAGCTCAGTCAGTCAGCAATCACTTATTATGACTGAAAGAACTAGAAACTTGCATACTTCAACTCCTGTAAACTCTACTGCAGACACTCAG